GAATGCCGAATAAAAAAGTTGATGAGGAAATCAGTCAGAAGATAGGTTTCGTATGTATCTCAAGTCTCAACAACTTGGTGAGACTTGAATATCCTTTTTTCTTCCAACTAGATGTGAATTTCTACCGACTAATAATTTCTATTGAGGTCTAAAATAATGTTTTAGGTAATTAAAGAATATACCGAGTTGGGGGGAGACGGGGTTGGTAAAAGAGAACCGAGGTTTGTGAATGGAATTTCTGCCAACATTAGGTGGGATTGTGTGCCAATATTATGCCCACATTCTCCCTGTGTGTGTATAATCTGAATATTGAATTTTGGTTTGTTTTAAGACTAGTGCTGTGTTAGTTACTCTGAGGATTAAAGGGTTACTAGGGAGTAGGGAGAAAGAGGCACTATTTGCCTCTATATGTTTATTCAAAAAATAAAAATAAAATATAAACAGAACTAATACAATTTACATAATAATAGGTGATTTGTAATTGGAAGGTGAGTGGTTTGGGATAGTTATAGGAATAAAATAGTCCAAAGGAATATGTATACAAAAAAGAAACACCCCTTTTATTATACATTATACATTTATACATATAGATAAAGTAAATACAAAAAATGAGATGACCTCAATAAATAATCGTGTCCACATTTTTTCTCTGTTTTACTTCAACCCATTTTCTTTTTAATTCGGTGTTTGAAACTTATTAGATTTGAGAATAGAAATTTCGCGCAAAATTTACTCAACCATCAAATGTCTCTTAACACATCTAATGGAATATAGCATAAATGATAAAATAGACTTTAAAATCCATATAGCTCGGACCAGATAATGTTGTTTTTGTTATCGGATGTTCCTTATGAAAGATAATTCGGAGTTGCTCACCAAAATAAAAGATACGTCAGAGTTCATACACAGGAAATTGACCATTTTTTACTCTGATGGGCATTTACCTTCATATGTTGGTTGATACTGATAAAAACTGGAAGGTTATTTCAAGTCAACTAAATGGAATGACATGCAGATTGCTTCTGCAAATAATTAATCAATCATCTTGGAATTTTGTATATTTTTCTTGGCTTTACATATTTTCCTTGCCAAGAAATAGAAACATGAATGTTTACTTTTTTAAATATGTTGTTGTAATCAAGAACTTTCTTAATGCTTTTAATTACAAATGATGCAGGGGATTCCAGAAAACATAGTTGTTGGTTCTCATGTCTGGGTTGGAGATCCAGAACTAGTTTGGGTTGATGGACAAGTACTGAATATTAATGGAGAAGAAGCTGAAATCCAAACTAGTAATGAGAAGAAGGTAAATTGAGATGTTTTACAAGTCACAGCCTTTCAATCTTAATCTCTAGTTCCACTTTGTATTGTAGTTTTTAAGGATTCTAGATATTTGAACTTCCTTCATTTTGTGTTTTTGACATGTTATGTATTATTTTTTAAAAATATGTATATTTGCAATGATTTCTTGAGGATGATTTTGTCCTTAAGATTCTTAGCAAAGGGTAGACTAGAAAAAATTAATATCTGTGAAAATATGCTCTTTAACATTTTCTGTCAACATCTTCAGGGCAGGACATCATTAGTCCTTAGTTATAAAAGAAAGATTTAAGTTCCATAAAAACTTTTTTATGTTCTTATGGAATATAGGAATCATACTAGTTAATTTGCACATTATCTGTGGTTTGTAGGGCCCTCCTCCAGTGTCTAATATCTTTTCTTTTCTCTAGTCCTTCTCTGTGGGAAACAGTTAGTTTCAGAGCTTTAGAAGAGTAGAAGGGGATGCCTTAAACAGTGCAAGAAAGAAAGGAAAGTCTAAGTTGTTGTCCCATTGTTATATTAGTAAATATTTAACAATGAATTTAGAGAGAACACATATACTGGCTGTCTTGAATTTGAGATACTTAACATGTCAGTCTCTATTTCTATTAAAATTGTGGTTGATTTTGACTATGAGAAATACATATCCAAGGACTTCAAAACCATTCTGTGATTATGCAGCTAAGAATTATGTCTCTTCTTATTTCTTAAGAACTATAAGCTTATAAAAATGCAAACTAAGAACTTCTTTGGAGACATCTATTTAAGCTCTTAATGCTGTCTATAGACACTATGTACAATGAGACTCAGAATGCAACTGATTTTACGCCACATTAGCAACATTGCTGCACCCATGTGTGATCATGTAATCTGGATTAATTATCTTCTATTTTGTTTCCATGTCACTAGGTTGTTTCCCTTGTGTCAAAATTATATCCCAAGGATGTGGATGTGCCTACTGATGGAGTTGATGACATGACCAAGCTTGCTTATTTGCATGAGCCAGGAGTGCTACATAATTTGGAAACTAGATACATGATGAATGAAATATATGTAAGATTACCCCCACATTCAGTTTAAAAATAACAGAGTGTTCTCCTATGCAGAAGACAAAAACTTAAACTACAGCTATGTATGGACATCTCTTTTATAATAATTTGATATCATGGCAGACTTATACTGGCAATATTCTCATTGCAATCAATCCCTTCCAAAGTCTTTCACACCTGTATGATACTGATGTGATGCAAAGATACAAGGGAGCAACAATTGCAGACTTGAGCCCACATGTTTTTGCTATTGCTGAAGCAGCATATAGGTGAGATTTTCCTGCTTTTACTTTCAGTTTTTATTTTTCAAATGGTATTCTTATTGCTGATTGTTTAAATTAGGGCAATGATTAATGAGGAGAAAAGCAACTGTATCCTGGTTAGTGGTGAGAGTGGTGCTGGTAAGACAGAAACCACCAAAATGCTTATGCGGTACCTGGCATATTTAGGTGGTAACGCGGCATCTGAAGGGCGAACTGTTGAACAACAAGTTCTAGAAGTAAGAAGGTTATCTAACTCCAGATTATGGTTGCTATTGTTTCTACTTGTTTAGGTGTGGGTGTGACTTATACTGAGACATTGTTTAAACCTGTTTGCATGCTCTTGCTCTTGGCCAAAGTAAGAACAACGTATTGATGTCTGGAAACTTAGTGCCATAGACACTTAAAAGAACAAGAATGAGGACATTTAAAGAACAATTATGAGGACCAACTATATTACCCTCTAGTCATTTTCGAGTGGTAAATGAAAAAAATGAATTCAAATGTGAAGATAATTTGGCATAATTAACATCTATTAGCTAATTAATTAATGATTTTCATTTATCGCTAATATTTCTTTATGGCACTTGAGATTTGAATTGTGGCAAAAACAGTGAGAAACTTTCTCAGCTGGAATATTATATATATAAGATCAGAACAAGTACAAAATCAAGAAAGCAAGGCTACAACCTATGGCCCTTAACCCTTATGTTAGAAAGGGCCAAAAAACAGCTTTTATAAAGCTGTACAACATATAACAAACAATTATTTTAACACTCCCCTTCAAGCTGGAGCATATATATTGTATGCACCAAGCTTGTAACATATAAAATGAATCCTAGATCTTCTTAAAGACTTAGTTAGAATCTCTGCAAGCTGGTCATTAGAGCTGATAAACTCGGTAATAAGTTCCTTGGACAGCAGTTTCTCTCGAACGAAATGACAATTAATCTTTGTGTTTGATTTTCTCATGAAACACTGGATTGGAGGCAATATGAAAGGCTGACTGATTATCACAGTACAACTTCATCTGCTTAACTTCACAAAATTTTAACTCTTGAAGGAGTTAATCCACATAAGTTCACAAGTAGGAAGAGCCATAGATCTATATTCAACTTTTGTAGTGGATCAGGCCATCAGGCAACAATGCCTTGTTTCTTGCTCTTCCAAGAAACAATATTTCCTCTAATGAAAACACAATATCCAGTGGTGGATCTCCTGTTTATGGGACAACCAGCCCAATTTGCATCACAATACCCCAAGACTTGAGTATTTCCCTTATCCTCATACAACAATGCTTGTCTTGGAGCCCTATCTGAGAATGTGAATCACAAGATTCCAATGGTCAATGTGAGGATTTTGCATGAATTGACTAACAACTCCAACTGCAAATGAAATATTAGATCTCGTAATAGTGAGATAAATGAGTTTTTCCACCAGCCTTCTGTATCTCTATGGATCTAAAAAAATTTCACCTTGGTCTATTATTAGCTTTTGATTTGGATCCATAAGACTATCAATTGGCCTGCAAATTTCCAAACTTGTCTCTTTCAAAATATCAAGAGCATATTTTCTTTGTAAAATTACAACACCTTCCTTTGATTGAGTCACTTCAATATCAAGAAAGTATTTCAGACAACCAGGGTCTTTAGTATGAAAATGGCTGAATAAATGCTCTTTTAGTTGAGAAATCCTTGTAGCACCATTTTCTGTAATAACTATATCATCAACATAGACCGTTAAATAAACACACTTCCTAACTGAATGACAATGAAAAAATGAATGAGCTGCCTCACTTCATTTCGATCTAAAAATTTTCACAATATGACTAAATTTACCAAACCAAGCTCGGAGTGATTGTTTCAATCCATACAAAGACCGATGCATTTTACAAACTAGACCACACTCTCCTTGAGCAACAAATCCAGGATGTTGTTCCATGTAAATCTCTTCCTCAAAGTCACCATGGAGGAAGGAAATTTTAATGTCAAGTTGGTGGAGTGACCAATGACAAATAGCCGCCATGGTAAGGAAAAGCCAAACTGTGCTGATCTTAGCCATAGGAGAAAAGGTATTACAATAATCAAGACCATAAATTTGCATGTATCCCTTGGTTATCAATTGAGCTTTAAGGTGATCAACTTCGTCACTAGGTCCAACTTTAACAACATAGACCCATCTACAACTGTCAATTTTCTTTCTAGGGGGAAGAGGGACAAGCTCCCACGTGCCATTGTGTGTAAGAGCCAACATTTCATCAATCATGGCTTGTCATCATTCAAAATGATCAAGTGCCTCGTTGATAGTTTTAGGAACAGTAGTAGACTATAAAGAGAAAACAAAAGAAAAGTATGAAGGAGATAGGCAATGATAACTCAAAAAAATTATAAATAGGATGAGGATTATGAGTAGACCATATTCCTTTTTAAATAGAAATGGGCCAATCTGAATTGGAGTCATGAGAAGGCATGGAGGATGAAGGACCCGTGGTATGGGACACTGTTGGAGGAGGATCTGAATCACGAGAGTCTTAAGCTTGTTCTGTCCCGCGTTGATATGTAATGGGGGTGGGTGGAATAACTTCAGCAGAATCATAAGTATGAGAGTGAGGCGGATTCTCATCTTGGTTGGAGTTAGAGGGAGTGAGAATCATGAACGGTCCAGAGAATTTGAAGAACCTGTTGAACAGAAATAGGATTGTCCATGGAGGATGAGAAAAAAGGTGTGTCCTTAAAGAAGGTAACATCAACAGACATATAATACCTTATGGTAGTAGGAAAATAACATTTGTATCCTTTCTGAAGGCGAGAATATCTTAGAAAAACACATTTAATAGCCTTTGCAGAAAGTTTGTCTAAATCTGGAGAAACATTATGAACAAAACAAGTATAACCAGACATCTAGGAGAGACATGAAATAATGGGTCATTCGGAAAAATGATAGAGTGAGGAATTTGATTTTCAAGAGAGGAAGAGGGCGTTATATTTATTAAAAAACAATCAATGAGGGCTACATCTCCCCAATGATGTACAGGAACATTCGTATTAATATTAGGGAGCGTGTAGTTTCAATGAGATGTCTATTCTTCCTTTCCACTATGCCATTTTGTTGTGGTGTGTGAGGACATGTGGATTGATGTAAAATACCCTGTGAGGATAAAAAAAAAGTTTAGTAGAAAAATATTCTTTATATTGTCACTTCTAAAGATTTTAATTACCTTGCCAAATTGGTTCCTAATCTCATTAAAGAAAGACCTGAATATAGATAAAAGTTCACATCTATCTTTCATTAAATAAACCCAAGTAAATCGAGAGAATTCATCAATGAAGATTACAAAACATCTAAAACCAAAAGATGTGACATGGCTTGGTCCCCAAATGTTCGAATGAATGGTAGAGAAAATCTAGTTACATCTTTTTTTAGTTTGTTTAGGAAATGATGACCTAACACATTTTCCTAATTGACACGATTAACATTTCAAAACTGGAAGTTGCTTAAGACTAGGAACCATTATCTTCAATTTTGCTAAACTTGGGTGATCCAAACGATCATGCAAAAACTTTGGTGCTGAAGTTGCAAAACAGGACACAGGTGGGTTGGTTTCTAGGTAATAAAGGCCTCGTGATTCATGTCCTTCGCCAAACAGACGGTTTGTACCATGTTCTAGTATGACAAAGGAATTAGTATCAAATGTTACTTAACAATTTAATGAACGAGTTAATTGACTTAGAAAGATTAAGTTATAAGGACAATGAGAGATGGGTAAAATAGAATTTAATTTTAAAGTAGACAAAGGAACTTGACCAGTTCCTTGAGATGCAACTTTGGACTCATTTGGCTACAATAACAAGATGAGGAACTTTTAGAGAAGAGATGTATGAGAATAAGGAACTATTATCAGAAATGTGGTTAGAGGCACTTGAGTCAAGTCTCCTTGAACCATGACCTTCCACAAATTGAGAAATACATGCTGTTGAAACACTTGGCATAGAAGAAGATTGGGCTTGACTGCTAGATTTTTCAAATTTAAACCTCAAATATTCCTGGTACTCCTCATCAAAAAACTTGGAATTTGATTTTTTAGATTTAGACACATGGGCTGCCTTGTCACGAAAACTATGCAAGGAGTAGCAATTTTCTTGTGTATGACCAATATGTACACTGGCAACATCCACTTCTGCCACCACGTCTTCCTCAGTTGCTACGTCCTCCTTTTCCATGAGGTGCTACCATTGCTGAAGTTTCAATAGTTTTAGCTGGGTTTTCATCTTTCACTTAGGTAGGAACACGAAGAAGTCTAGTAACTAAGCTGTCCATGAAAGAGATTTGATCATCAGTCAGAATTTGATCATGCACTTGATCAAAATTTGAATGTAAAATTCTCAAAATTAGAACCATATATAACTTATCAAGTTTTTTGTTGAAGTTCTCTAATGAGTCTGTCACAAAAAACTTTTTAGTTCTTGTTGAGAGAAATGGTAAATGTGAAGAACATTTCCTTGTGTATTGCAAAGCAAAAGATATGTTTATATACAAAGTAGTGGGCCTAGGCCCATGAGATAAAACTATATCTAACAATCCCCCTCAAGCTGGTGTATATAGATCATATGCACCAAGCTTGTTACAAATATAATCAATCCTAGGACCTTATAATGATTTGGTGAATACATCTGCCAACTGATTAGTAGAGTTAACAAACTGAGTAGTAATGTTCCCAAATAAAATCTTCTCACGAATTAAGTGACGATCTATTTCAATGTGTTTGGTCCTCTCGTGAAATATTGGATTTGAGGCAATATGAAGGGCAACTTGGTTATTACATATGAAAGTCATCTGTGTAACTTCGCCAAATCTCAGTTCTTTAAGCAATTGTTTGAGCCAAATAAGTTCACAAGTGGAAAAGGCCATAGTACGATATTCTGCTTCTGCACTAGATCTTGCCACTACATTTTGCTTCTTACTTTTCCAGGAAATCAAGTTATCACTAATAAAGACACAATAACCTGAGGTGGATCTCCTGTGGGAGAGCCTGCCCAATTTGCATCTGAGTACCCCACAACTTGAGTATGATTGTTGTAGCCATTTTAGATTTAGACACATGGGCTGCCTTGTCACGAAAACTATGCAAGGAGTAGCAATTTTCTTGTGTATGACCAATATGTACACTGGCAACATCCACTTCTGCCACCACGTCTTCCTCAGTTGCTACGTCCTCCTTTTCCATGAGGTGCTACCATTG